AATACGCTTAATTGCGTCTGATATATCTCTACTTCCTGCTTCTATCAGAGATATGTAATCTTTCTGTAAAGGAATATAATTATATCTTGTATAATACTTTGTAAATTGATATTCATATTTCAAAATTATCATAAAAGAGTAATATTTTGTAAGGTAACTTCGGTATACGCCGCGCGATGATTTATGCCGCAGAAGTAAAAAAAAATAGAAGAATTAATGAAAGTAATTTTCTCGCAACCACTCTGTTACATACCTTTGTTATATTAATATTGTGTTATGATTTTAGTTTTTTACTATTAATATTAATAAAATTATTGTAAGTTAAATCAATTTATTATTATAATAAGTAACGCAACCATAAGTTATAATCTACATAAAATGATTATTTTAGGAAATATAAAAAACTTCGTGGTTATTTCGTGGTACATAAATGTAGAGAAATTGTAAAGAATAGAGTATAGCAAAATACAAGTGCTTAGCTCTTTATATTATTTGTATATTTTTTGAGTCATTCATTTCACCCGTGAATGATTGTATAACTTATCCATATTTTTATGCGACAAAAATGCAAGGATTTAAAAAAATTGTTTTAATATAAAAAATAAATATTTTGGATTCTTAATATTTTTTCATAGTAGTACAGTCTAAAGTTTTTACTGGTATATAATAGTTGATAAATTAAGTTTTTAATAGATGCGGCGTATATACCGGAATTACCCTAATGTTATGAAAAATACCATCACTAAATTGAAATCATCATCTTTTAGTCGATTATCAAAGACTACAAATTTTTCCAACGTTTCAAAAGGTTTATCAAGACCTAATTCCTTTTGTAAGTCGATTTCGCTTTGTCCTGTCAATGTGTGTGATCGCACTACCATTTTAGCTTTTATTTCCTCTTGCCTTCTGCGCACACTGTATAAAATGCTATTTTTGGTAGCTTTAATTTCTTTTTTAACATTCGTTTTTATTTTTTCTATTATTTCTTGCTTTTGTTCCTTAAGCATAATTTCTAAATCTTTTATATCTGAATAATAACGTAATAGAGTTTAATATGTATTTGCTATCTTTACCTTAGCTAACAATAAGTGTACGAATTGCATTTGAAATAATATCTTTTTTTCTACGCTTTCAATCATAAAATGTCTTGTATTATTCGTTCATGTAATCGAACATTTAATATTTTATTAATTTACTCAAAAAATTACTTTACTACTTACTTATTGTTATTTCTCTATTGTTATTTGATCTTGGACTCTTTTCTCTATCATGTTCTATAAAAGAATTATGTATTTATGTATATATATATATTTTTTTATTTATATTTATTATATTATATTATATTTATTATATTTATTTTATACCATTATTGCTATTTTGTGAAAAAATATGGGTAGAACCATCAGAATATTCTTTATCTCTATCTTCTTTGTTGCTACCTGATGTATTAGAACTTTGTTGTGTATAATCTTCGCGCGTATGTAAGATATAAAAATAATTGTAAAAATATAAATAGAATACATTTTTTTTTATATTAGAAGAAGGTTACGTCATTATCAGGGCTGGGCAAAATACATTATTAAAGTATTTAAAATTATTTAACTTTTCAACTTAACTTTTATCTTTTTAACTAGACTCTACCCAACCCTATAAAAAATAAAAATAAAAATTGTACCATTAAAGCACGGAATATTATGCAAAGAGTCTTCAGCACGATTTGATAATTTTTTTGAGGACCTACGAGTGCGTTTTTGGGAGATTTCTTCACATTCATCATTTTCCGAGTCTCCCAAATCACCATATTCACTGCTACTCTGAACATATAAAGTTTTTTCGTACCGTGATATTCGGCGTTCGCCTTGAGCAAAATCATCTAATGCAAATACACATTTAAATATTAATATCTAATATTAAATACTAAATATTTAATATTTAAAAAAATTCTTACAGATACGTTGTACGTAATTTATCTTTAAATATAAAATATACATTTCACATAATTAATATCTATAAAAAATATATTTACACATAATATATAATTTATTCTATTTAAATAAAAAATATGGCAACAAAAATATTATTAATTGCATATAATACAAAAAGCATAAAAAATTTCATGCGTGTAAAGTTATATAAACAAAAAATATATAAATTTAATATTTGTGTCAAACCATTAACAAAATAACAAATTTGTAAATATTTTTAAGAAATCAGGTCTGAAGGGATAAGTAAAATAGATTCAACAAGAGTTAAAATAGTTATCGCAATTACCATAGAAGACATGACAAAAGTCTAACAAAGTTAGTGGCGTTTCTACTATTAACTAAAATAATTTTAACAAAATTTAAGATACATTTTTTTGTTAATTTTTTTCTAAAAACGTAGCACTTACGAGCAAATTTTATAATTTCTACTTCAGTCTTTTCCCATTTTAAATTTGGCTCTCTAGATTTTTTCGACCATTGTCCAACCATTTTTGAATATTCTTTTGGTGGATAAAGACAAAATGTTTTCTTGCCATCTTCAACAATCCATGAACAGGGAATTAAATCTATAATTTAGATCGGAAGAGC